TCTCACCTTAACAGGTCAAGTGTTTAGATGTGCATATCTTCCGAGCTTGGTGATTAAAAAGTGCTATAATTATCATAAATATGTGATTAGTAGTTGAATGATTTTATTAAACATCATAACAAGTTAATACATCACATGTTTTTGTTATGGTAACACACAACTAAGGAAATTCGAGATATGAAACTCAAAACTTTATTGAAGTCAAAAAGTCATCTTGATGTTAGGATTGTACTTTGAGCTTTGGTACATTTACTATTTGCACAAATAGCTTCCTAACATTTAGCCTTACTATATACAAACCATGTTGTCCATAACAATTAATCAATAGATGTACAACATTAATCAATTTGCCTCATTTATCACTAGAATTCCATACATTACAAACTTGCACCCTATCCATCAAGTGTGGTACTTATTCAAACACCACAACATCATATTGAGCCACTATTTGTCAAAAACAAGATCATGCATACGATTGGATCTTCAAAAAGAAAACGATTCATTATTTTCACAAACGTGAAAAATTCGAACCGATGGGGAAGTAAGCCACGGGGATTACTGCGCTTTTTCTACTCTTGCTCTTTGCTTCTTTGTCACTATCTACGTTTTGAGCTTTCCTCGATTCCCCAAATCCTTCGTTTCCCACCTTGGTTGAACCCAACAGACAACTAACAAAACTGAACATAATGCCTATTTTAATCGTAAATTTGCAAACGAAGGAATTCTGAATCTTTTAGATTTTTGACTCTAAGAAGAAAGATTTTCTTAATTGTGTTGTTTTGTTATTATAAGTTTGCCATATTTATACGCAAAAAAAAAACATGATCTATTCTTGGAAATTTCCGGATTTTCTTGACGTGGGGAGAAGGGTATTGAAATTGGTCGTATTTTTAGAGACTGACTAGTCAAAGATTAGAAAAGTTATTGTACACATGTTTCCAAGCCTTGGCGGCCAAGAAATAATTTGTCTCTATTTAATTAAATATCTTCTTGTTTTCTTTCTTAACTACCTTAAATCCTATTATAATTTTTTTATGGTTTACTAAAATTGATTTTTTTAATATTCACAATGTGTGTCGTATATTTTGTTTTAATTTATTGTTATAAAAAATGAAGCACGTAAAATTGACAAGACGAACCTCGATTTCTAATGTTAAAAGAAGGCTTAATCATGAAGTATGATAAATTGCATGAGTTCAAATTTATATGTCGTCCAATGACCAGAGTACATGTTAACTTTTGCTTTGAGTTTGGTATAGAGCGATGGTTTTTGTTGATATACATTATTTTGCTTATGTCCTCATGCATTTTTTTTCGTGTTGTCATTCGATGCACAACTAGTAACAAATTAAATGAACCATTGCTTGCAAAAATTTAAAATAAGTAAACAGGTCAGTCCATGTATTTAGTATACTATTTTATTATTATAGTCAATAATAATTTGTATACTATTTTATTATTTGTCTTTTTCCAAAAAAAGTCAACCTCTAAGATAACTGGTCTATATATTTTTCTCTTATCAACTTTAGTTTCTTTTTCATGTCCTGTAAATTAACCAAACGACTTTTCTCGGAAATCATTTGATACCACGTTTTTACTGTGAATTTCTTAAGGCAACTTTGAGAACTATGCTCAAATTTATCGGTTAATAACTTCTATATAATAATAAAATCTCATGATTACAATAACGTTAAAAAAAGAGACCCTACTCCATAGCATATATGAAAAACAAATGAAAGAATTTGCAAAAGCATGGTCCGTCATGCCTACAAACGTGAAAAGTTTGAGCCGACGGGAAAGTAAGCCACCGGAATGGCTGCGCTTTTTCTACTCTTGCTCTTTGATTCGTGCTCAGCATCAACATTATGAGCTTTTCTTGATGCACCAACCTTCTCATTTCCTTCATCTACTACCTTGTTTAAAGCCGAGAAACAACTAAAATACCCTGATGTAATAATCATCTTTCTTAACAAATTTTGTGTTAAGTTTTGTGATTTTGTAGTCTTAAACTAAAAATATATTTTTAGCACGTGTTCTTACTATGTATGAAGTGAGGCCATATTTATACTCAGATATTCAATAGTTTCTTATACTAATTTCTTGGTTTGGGGAGGAAGTAAAGGTGTTGAAATTGGTCAAATAAGATACGTGTTTCGATTGAATTTTGAAAAGTTTGTGCACAAAAATCCAACATGAGTTGATTTGATGCTATTACTAAAACACTTATTCTTATTATCTTAATTTTTTTTATTTTTAAATATATAATTCATATCTTATAAATCTATATTATTTTATAATCAGATTTATCAAAAGTCTTAAAAACAATTTTTAATGCATAAAGTATTATATATTTATGAACATTAAAAGTCTGAAAAACTACTCATAATACATTAAGTACTACTACTTTATGCATTTAGTCATAAAATATCTTAATATACAATTAAAATAACATATAATACAAGTTATCAACGCACATTATTATATTTTCTTTTCATGTTCCTAAGATACTTTTGACACCTTTCACTCGTGCATTCACCCTCTCATGCCTCTATGTCTTCTCTCCATCCTCCAAGATGAGATTCAAATTGGTATTTCTCATGAGTTATTAAAAGTTCTCTCATTCAATTGCTTTAGAACTCTCAATCTCGCTCTCGATCTTTTGATTCTTTGCTCTTGGTGTAAATCAAACACATTTGTGGCGTCGTTTAAATATGTTGGATTTTAAATATATTGCATTTTAAACTGTCATACAATTTTTTTCATCGATATACTGTAATTAGAACCATAACTCTTATTTATTCCAATTGTATTAATATGTAAAGACCAAGTGCAACTTATATTATCGTTAAATCTTCAATAATAATATCAGTGAAACTTCAAAATCGTTAAAATTCACGGCTCCCGCCGAATTGCACGAATACACAACTAGTTTATAAATAACCACATACCCCTTTTTAACTAAAGATACTTGTGAAATATGTTTATTTCATTATTGAATCTTCTTCAAAAATAAAAGATACTTGTATAATTTATTTAAAACTAAAAAGTAGTTTTATTTATCGTTTTGATTCAATTCTTTACAATTTTTGTACATTTTGTTTGATAAAAGGTTTTTTCCTATTCAAGCCAATAATTACTAAACAAACAACGGTTTCATAATAGAATTTGCATCCTCAGATTTGACTATAAAACCTCCTACAACACGTTCAATAATGTTGAAGTTCAAATGTTATTTATGCAAATATAAGTAGATTTGTAGAAATAAGACAGTGAAAGCTAAGGTTAAACCAAAAGATATAGTGAGTCCCCTTGATTAGCATAATAACAAAATAACGTGAACGAAAGAATTAATCCATATTAAGATTTTCAACCAAAAATTAATCCGTCTACGACACAAGGCTTTAAGCCTTGCAACCAAATTGGGAAATTGATCACAGAAAATAAATCCCTAATTCCCCGGTTAACCAATAAAATAATTACATTAAAATGGTGATTAATCCACTTTATATAATCCCTTAAAAAGAATGGTTTACCAGCAAAATGTTTGGATTGCTATGTATGGTCGGAACAACTTAGTATGACCTGATGATATCATGGCATGGTCATCATTTGGTTTAAGAAACCCAATCCTAAAAGTTTGAAGTGAAATCGAATTATTTTCCCATGTTGTCGTAAAAGCTTATTTGATTTATGTTCCTACAAAGTTGTTAAAAAGGTTATGTCTTGATAATTAAAAAAAGATCTAATAAATTAAATTTAGGTAATTGGTGGCCAAATGCACGCCTAACTCCAACCACCACCACGACTTTACTTTTCATGTTTCTTAAAACCAATCAAAATTTCACCTCTCTTTTTGTTTTTTCTAGTAATCATCTATTTTAGGCCAACTTACAAATACCGAGTAACCATGAATTATTTAAAGTCATCGCTAGTGAACCTTCATGGCTACAAGAGTTTTGGTAGCATTTGGATTCAAACCAGGTTAGATAAGATTTTCCATTATATTTCCTTGAGACTTAATCAATTAATTAATTTTACCATTTTCCTCATTTTCTGATTTTTGTTATCCAAATCTTAAAATTATATTTAAGTAGTCTTCTGTTTTTGTTTTGAAAAGCAATGTAATATTACAACACAAAAACAACACATAATATAAATAAATAAATAAAACCTCGACAATAACTAGGAGATACAGTTAAAAGGGAAACCGAACAAAGCTAAAAACAACAGCCGAACATCAAAAAACGACCAAACTATGTAAATAGTTTTAAATTCTGGCTTTTAATATTCTTAAGACTAACTTGATTCTAATATAATTTACAAACTATACTTGATTGACTAAATTGTTTCTAAATTTGACGAGTTAAAGAAAATAATTTCCTTGTTTACTTTTTAAGTGTCATTGAAATTGGTTTCTGATTTAATTACTATTTTAAGTGGATTATTTTATTGAAAGGAGAGGTGGTAGATTCTTTTGACATGCCCAGAAAGTATCTTGTTTCTATAAACAAGACTGCCATCATTGATTCCAGACCACCACACTGCCACCATTAACGCATCCTCTGTTTTTTTAGGGTTTCATTCCATTTTTATTTTCAATCTCTCTGCTCCCAATTTCATTCTTCAAATTAACAACCAAGAAATCAATCAAACGGATTAAGTTTTTGAGGTAGATTCAGCAGAGTATCATCTCTTTCACCGACTCCCGCCGGTGTGTATTGTATAGGTATATATGATTATTTGTTTCTCTATTAAGATTAAATTTATATCTCAAGAACCAAAGGGTTCGGACTGTAATTCGCTTCTTCGGAAAACGGTCCCAAATTTCTCAACTTTGAATAGCCCATTCAAACCCTAATCTTGAGTTAATGGGTGTTTCTATTGAATCGGATTCATCACTTGTTTTCAAATTCATATTGAGGACCATTGGTTTTTGCGGCTGTCTTGGTTGAAACTGGAGGGATTATGTGTTAGTGTTAATAATCATGATTAATAGATAATTTTGGGACAGAAGTGAATTTTTGACCTTCTGGTTAGTTTAAATTTTCAAATTCTATTGGTGCTTTTTTGGTGAAATTACAACCTTTTAGGACTGTAAGAAGATAGGGTATTTGTTTGTTTGTTGGTAAATTTGATGGGTGGGATTTGCGTTAAGCCTTCTGGTGGGAGCCCCAGGGAGAGAAGGTCTAGTAAATTGTCATCCGAATCGCGGGTATTACAGTCGAACTCCAAAAATCGAGCTGAAGTTCGAACTGGGTCGATTGACAAGAGATTGAATTCTTCTAGAAGAGTGCGGTATGATCAATTTGAGAAGAAGAAAGAGGGTTCTGGAGTCATTGTTGGTAATATTTCGAGTATTAGAACAATTCCTAAAGCTATAGAAGGGGAACAGGTTGCGGCCGGTTGGCCTTCTTGGCTCGCTGAGGCAGCCGGAGAAGCTGTCAGTGGTTGGCTACCTCGTAGAGCAGATACATTTGAGAAATTAGATAAGGTATGCTCGTCGTATTGTTTACAATTTCGATAGCTCAAGTGCCTGATTACGGGGTCCTTTGGATGAATGACCTTATGCTAGACTTTTTTTTAAATCCATGATAACTTCTGACAGGTTTGAGAATGTCAACGTTTCACAGAAGAATGCCGAGAAACCTGTCAAAAGGTCATGGATTTATAAAACACCTGTTGGGAGGTCATTTACCTAAATAACCCTAATATTATAGACTCAAACAAGACTATCGGATTACTTCTTGTTAATGGTGAATTAATTCGATTGGGACTGTGAATCGATATACTTGTATGATGGTTTTCGTGCTGTGTTTATAGCATTCCATTCTTGCAGATTGGTCAAGGAACATATAGCAATGTGTACAAGGCTCGTGATCTAATAAACAAGAAAATTGTTGCATTGAAAAGAGTGCGGTTTGATAATATGGATTCCGAGAGTGTCAAGTTTATGGCAAGGGAAATAGTTATCTTGCGAAGGCTTGATCATCCAAATATAATAAAACTCGAAGGATTGGTCACTTCACGGACTTCATGCAGCTTATACCTTGTTTTGGAGTATATGGAACATGATCTAACTGGACTTGCATCACTACCTGGGGTCAAGTTCACAGAACCACAGGTACTTGATCATACTTTATTTTAAACATATTCTAAAAAGTAGTCTATTGGGACATTTAGACATATTTTGGCTTCTTATAAACGCGATTTTGTTGTAGGGTAGTACAATTGTTTTCAATTGGAAAGTACTTAGTACAGTTCGATAGACTTTTATAACCGCTTCTTTCAAATTTTACCCAATTTTCAGCCATCTGCTTATTTCATCATACTGCCTATGTGTTATTTCAATTTTGTTTCACAGGTCAAATGCTACATGAAACAGCTGCTAAGTGGACTCGATCATTGTCATACTCAAGGTGTCCTGCACCGCGACATAAAGGGGTCAAATCTTTTGATTGATAATCATGGAATCTTAAAAATTGCAGACTTTGGGCTGGCAAGTTTCTTTGATCATCGGCAAAATGTGCCATTGACAAGCCGGGTTGTGACTCTTTGGTATCGGCCACCAGAACTGCTACTTGGAGCAACTCTTTATGGAGTTGCTGTGGACTTGTGGAGTGCAGGATGCATCCTCGGAGAGTTATATGCCGGAAAACCTATCATGCCTGGCCGAACAGAGGTACTATAGCAACCCGTTTCTCGATTCTTGCCTGTTTGAATAAACGTTACTCCCTTTAGAATCAAATCTTTCAAGGGAAAAACTTCAATCAAAAGCTAAGTTCTTATCTGTGTGTAGTTCTCGGCTTGGTTTTCATTTGAATTTGAACTGTATCTTGTAGGTTGAGCAACTACATAGAATCTTTAAGCTTTGTGGTTCACCATCCGACGATTATTGGACGAAATCAAAATTACCACACTCAACAGTCTTCAAACCTGCCCAGCCTTATGAACGACGTATGCAAGAAGCTTTTAAGGATTTTCCTTCACCTGCTATCCAGCTAATGGAGACCTTACTTGCGATAGATCCTCAACAAAGAGGAACTGCAGCCCTCGTTCTCAAGAGTGAGGTTATGATCATTCTTGATATCGAATACTTGGTTTTATCATCATTTCCTTATGAACGTTCATCATTTCCTTATGAACGTTCATCATTTCCTTATGAACGTGTCAACTTAATGTGGTCAGTTGATTTATATAGCCTTTTCATCTCGTTCCAGTTCTTTACAACTAAACCGCATGCTTGTGATCCTTCAAGTTTGCCACGATATCCTCCTAGCAAAGAAATTGATGCCAAAATGAGAGATGAAGAAGCTAGAAGGTATGCATGTGCACATGTGAATGAAGAATTATCCTCTTGTTTTTTAGAAGCTACAGTTAGTTTTTCCTTTTTCTGAGATGGTATTCGTGCTTGAGAAGTAGTTATAATTTGTATGACATTTTTAGAAAAAATCTATTTGTGGGTGTTCCTGAACCAACTTCTTGATTACTCAGAATTGAACTTCAGTTAAACCGATTTTACTGATTCTTGTAGACAAAGAGCAGCAGGAGTGAAGGACCAAAAGCTTGACAAGGAAAGCAAAAGACCAAAAGAACCTTGTGCAGTGCCAGCTCCGGATGCTAATGCTGAGTTAGTCGCATCAATTCAGGTACTTCATGATTCATGACGAATAGTTGGTTCCCAGATTCTCAAGATATTTACAGTTCTAGTTTGAACTTGCCCCAATTTGGGTGAATGTCATATATCTTTTAAATTGTATGCTATATATTTTTAAGAAATAACGGGGTGGTGTTAACACAAGGATTCTTGTTGTTTTTCAGAGAACGCAGGAGCGTGCAAGAAGCGAGCTGTTGAGCAAGTCCAAGGGTTTTCCTATCAAGCAACCCGCAATCTCAACAAAAGATGCAACTAAAGATGTGGAACGTCTTCCTCCAATGATGGAATCTTATTCAGGGCCATTGGTGGCAGGTGGTGGATGGACACAATCACAGAAGAAATATGGTGAAATTTCTTCCCATCTAACAAAGAGTCAAATGGGTAAGCAGATATCAGAATCAACCGAAGAATTTATGCATACAAGAAAGCACGAAGAGAGGGATCTTCCGGCTGGTCCACGTCGTGTAGAAAGTGGAAGAGCTAGTAATCAAGAACCCATGATGGTGAGTCTTCAAATCAAACCATTCCAATTCATGGCCACCTCCTTTAAAAATCTTTGTTATTAGGTATTATGGTTCTTATTGTTTGTTTGTGTTTGAATTATATGTATATTATAGGATGGTGAAGTATACAAGATTCATTTCTCTGGTCCCTTGGTTTCATCAAATGTTGATCGGATGCTTAAAGATCATGAGCGGCAGATCCAAGAAGCTGGTCGGAGAGCACGTCTTGAGAAGACCAGGCTCAGTAAACTTGCAGTAAGTGCAGTGTAGATAGCCACGTAAAAGCTCGACGGTCCGTAATTAGAACTTCGTCATACCAGTTTTTAACTTTTTTTTTGCTGGAATTTAAGAGTAGTATATTTTATATTCTGAAGAGAAGGGTCGATTGTGTTTGTAAGAAAATATAGGAAGCAGTAAGTATTGGCATGATTTTTGAAGCAGGATCTGGTTTTTTTTAGAATCTCAAGTTTTCAGATTTTTTTTATTAACCTAGATATTCAACCTGTTATACTAGCCGACTAATCCTAGGGTAACCACCTGCTTTGCGGGTAGTCCGGAGTCACCGCATTTGAACCTCCGTGGCTACAAGTGGATTTTTTTTTCCTATTTGGATTTGAACTTGGGACCTCCAGACACTTTTGACCTTTGGAGTCCAAGCTCAAACCAATCAGGCACCACTATTGTGGTTGGTTTTCAGATATTTTCATTGATGCTGAAAAGTGTGATAATCGGATTATCGGTTATAAAGTTCGGGGTTGTTTTTGAATGATGACGATAGTTGAGGGGTTTATTTGGTTATTATGCTTAAATTATTTGTTTAAAACTTACCGCCTTATGTAACTGTTTATGTTTATTTTGGGTAAATGAGTGTTATCTCATTGGGACGAGGAGGTGATGGAAGAAAATAAAATAAAAAGTGGTTCCTGGGCATATGTGTGTTTTTGGAAGCCGAAAAAAGAACAACTTTTCTTGAGTGTGAAGAAAAGGAAAATTGAAGAAGGAAAGCTTGTAGAATTGATTTTGTGATTCTTTAACTGAATTGTTGTTGTTTTAGTCTTCCTCTCTTATGGTTCTTTATATGAAAGATGTTATACAACTGTTTTGATGCTTTAATTAGCATAATTGTATGATTTTGATATATTTATACCAAGTGTTTGGAATAAGGTTGACATATTAAGAAGAGGTGTATTTTGGTTATAAGGGTGACATATCAAGGAGGGATGTGTTTTGGGATAAGAGTGACATATCAAGAAGAGGTGTATACCAGGATAAATGTGACATAATCAATGGAATGTAAAATCTGGGTTTTTGATCATTTTGGTATCTATTATCGCATCCTTATGATGCGATGACTTGGAGTTGTCGCATTTGTGTGATGTGATAACTTAAGTTATTGCATCCTATTGATGCGATGAGTTGGAGTTGTTGCATTTGTGTGATGCGATGACTTAAGTTATTCCATCCTATTGATGTGATGAGTTGGAGTTGTTGCATCTGTTTGATGCGATGACTTAAGTTATTACATTCTATTTATACGATGAAGAGGTTTTATAGCATCCTTGTGATGTGAGGAGTGAACTTATCGCATCCTTGTGATGCGATAAAATGAACTTATCGCCTCCTATTGATGTAAAAAGTTGGGATATCGCACATATATGATGCAATGAGATGAGGTCCTCACACAGTATGTTGTGAGGAAATGAGGTTGTCTCACCTGTTGGTCCTGGTTGGACTTGTAAAAACTCTTTATTGATAAAGAAGATCAATACATAATTTTACAGACTGTTTGCCGAAAAGATAAGATACAAAATTTATTTAAACAATCAAAGAAACACACAAGTTACAGAAAGCAAGAAAGAAAGGACTTGCTAAAAGAAATAGGTTAAGAAGGTCTTGTGTTCTTCACTGGTTAGAGTGGATGTCTTTAGATAGGGGAAGACGAAGACACTAAGAAGGAAGAACTTCTCAGCTATTTATACCCCAGTGTATTAAATGCAAGAAGGTACAAAGCACGTGTCAAGCTTCAAGAGGTGAGCTTGTCCTTTGTTGCAGATATACAAACTTTAGCCGTATATGAACAGTGTCTTTCCTATAGTAGGTAAGCACGCTTGGAGACAATAGAGTGACTCCGTATAGTATTTTACTTTGAGAGGTATGAGTTTGTCCTTTGTGTGTAGATGGACAAGACAAAAACTAATCTTGTTTGTGTGAAGATGGACAAGACAAAAACTAATCTTGTTCAACAAGATTCATTTGATCGGTGACACTAGAATAACGTTGAGGTTTCTTCAGTGTTCGCTAAATCTTGAGTAGATTTTACACTTGTGTAGACGAGCTGTTATCACTGAAAACCGCATGAGATCACGAACTTGCTTGTCTTTGTCTTTAGCTTTATCTTCGATACTGCTGAAGGTCTTGTGGTGTGAGTTTTGTCGTCCTAAAGAATACATGTCTCTGAGAGGATTACAATACATATTCAGCGATCACTGAACAAACTCAGTGATGATCGTTGAAGCTAAATACATAGATAGTACATTTTGTAACATAAAAATTATTATCATCAAATCACTGAGAGAGATGATCAACAATATCCCCCTATTTGATGATAACAAAGCAACATAAAAAATTTGCTTAGGTATTACAATAAGGAAAAGGTAGTAGTAAAATACTTGTCACTTTTAACTGTTTTGGGATCTTTTTCAGTGATACAGTTTACTATGAAAATTTACTTTAATTGTAAAGGATTACAAGGAAAGAATGAACTTACACAATATTAATAATTGAATACTGAAAGCATATTCACAGACTAGAAAAGTGTCAGCAAATATAAGAAATAAATAGAACTCGTAAGTACTTGTCTTGTTTACTCTTTTCAGGGATTTTTTCAGTGGACCAATCATTTTATTGAAATACTTTACAAAGGAAAATATTACAACTGATTACAATCGATTTTGGTAGGCTTAAAACATAAAAGCTATACACTTGAAGAAAAGATAAAGAAATACAAGATTTACAAGACTGAAAGTTTGACGAATGTAGATTTCTAAAGTTGATGTAATCTGAAACATCTTCTCCTTGCATATTTTGTCTGAGTATTTCCTTTCGAATCCTGTGGTCCATCATCTTGCCAGGGAGATATTCGTTCAACCAAGTTCGAAGATATTTCAAATGATCTATTGAACAAAGATGGAACTTAGATAATTGTTGAAATCTGTATTGACAATCATAGTCAATGAACATAAGTTCAAAGAAACACACAAGTTATAGAAAATAAGAAAGAAAAGACTTGCTAAAAGAAATAGATTAAGAAAGTCTTGTGCTATTCACGGGTTAGAGTGGATGTCTTTCGATAGGGAAGACAAAAACACTGAAAATGAAGAACTTCTCAGTTATTTATATCCAAAATTTTAATATCTCTTATCGGGTTGGAAAAAATTAAAATATTATTTTTCTATTTTCTATATAATTTTAGAGATTTCTTCAAATTTATAGATTTTTACCTGATGTCTTTTCTTTTCTCTAATTTAACATAATTGTTGAAGTTAAAATATTTTTAGATCTATAACATTTTCTAATTTTTAATATAACGGTTGGACGTGTATTCCTTAAAAAAAAACCTAGGACATTATTGATATTTTCTTATTTGTACAATCCATTTTGACTTAAGCTAAAAAAACAAAAATCACATGGTTGTGGGATCGGCTAATAATTCAAATTTGATTTTAAAAAATATCCACAAAAAAATATTTTAAAGTGTGAACAAATTCGCAAGCTATTTTAAAATCAAACGAGATTCAAAGCGCAAAAAATCTTTCAAGCCTGAATACAAAAGGGACAAATGTTATGACTGAATTTCAGTGTTAAAATTGTATTCGTCTTGAAAGTTACTATTGTCTATAATTAAATAGACATCGTGTTTGACTTTTCTACTATGTTTGACTTTGACTTATAAGGGTTGTAATTTGACCCTATATAAAGGTTTTGTCTTTAGTGAATTTGCGTATGAGTTTCATTGTAAAGATTGCGTATACATTTGAGAGATATATTTGCATTGACTGAGTTTGACTTTCTCTCTCATCTCCTTCCAAGATTATTCTTAACGTTCATAATATTTGCCATGGATTCATAAAGATTTACTTGAAGATTGATCATTGTTGACATTCACTAAATATCTACAATTATTTGTAACTATAAAAGTCATTATATTTTTTAATTGGCTATTGAGACAAAAACATTTATGTACATGATATATTTTATGATATTATTTTTATTTAATATTAAATCATATTAATCAACATGAGTATCCCGATAAAAATATAAAAACATATATTCTATAATTTTAGATAACTTAAAAGTCCAAATCTCTATAAAGAATTTTATAGATTTTAATATCCGTTATGTTAATATTACAATATCTTTCCTCTTACTTTTTTTTCCTTCGTAAAATAAGATTCAAGAACATAATGTTAGAGAATTTTCGATATTAGATCTTTCACTGGTTTTCTCTATTTTAAAGAGCAATATAATAAATTTGTTGAAATAAAGTAGAGAATTTCTCTATTTTAGAGAATTCGTTAGACATGTTGTAAGTAAAAAATAATAAAAAAAATGTTGACATCTCAACTAACGAATGTATACGAAAAATGAGATGTTTATTTTAATTAATCATTTATAAAATATTTTTCTTTTTTATAATATTTTGGTCAAACCTAATAAATATTTAATATTGAAGAGTTTATATTTAAAAAAATTAAAGTTTATTTGTTTAATTTTTATTATATCAGTTTGTTTTTTCTATTTATAGTATAGAATATTTTTGAATTAAATACTGATTTGAGGAAGAGAATTAAGAGGGAGATTGGGCGGTGTGGTTTTGTTGGAACAGCATGCATTCCAGGAAGCATCAGTTGGGAACATGAATAACATCCGCGTGACGTGACCTCCTTTTTCAATTGGCGTTGATTTTGTCCGCCGAAATTTGTATAGTACCCTGATTATTGTTCTTTGTTTATTTTTTAATAATTTTATTAAAAGGTAATTATTGAATCATTAAAAGATGAATTTTATTTGATAAAATTTTTTTTGCCTTTTAATGATTTTAAAACCCTCTGAATAATTTTGTATCATGGATCTCCCTTAACCATTAAGAGCCCTAATTTTATTATACACAATTATCAAACAATTATATTTTATTTTGTACTATATCATGATAATCTCTTAATTATTTTGTACCAAATCATTCAGCAATTGTCAAACAACCCATAAGGTTTAGATAGGTGATTCCATTCTAACATGGGGAGGTTAATTTCACCCCTATCCCTTACTTATGACATCCCTATCTCTTATATAATGATGTTTTTTGTTATCTTTTTGTATTTTTGTCTTTTTGTTGTCTTTTTGAAATAGTACTTTATGTAATAGTGATTACATTTTTTAAG